TATTCTAGCTTCTGGTAAAACAGATTATCATTGTAAAATTAAAGAAACTTTGCTCATCCAAGAACTTAAGCCGGCTCTTAATGTAAACGTCAGCAGTGACAAGCTGATAAGCTTAGGCTTTTATAGATGTTCTTAATCTCGTTTCCAGACCCCTTATGTACATTTCATATATAGTTTTCAAAAATTGTAACGGTCTTTATTCCACTTTCGAAAATGTATGTTGCGTAGCATACGAAACGTCAAGTTATTAAAATGCGTAAGTTTAATATGTTTATCACCGCTATTTGTGTTCTATTCCTCGTTAAACTACGATGGCCCAAGAATAAAAGCCTTTATGATGAAGTTGTACAAGCCCAGTGCTTTTAATCGGAATTTTTGCCTCATCATGCACGTGTCACTCTTAAACCATTTGCCACCCTCACATGGTACTTAACGCTACACGGCAGTCTCGTGTTTTCATTCTTGTTTTCATTTGCTTCTCGTGTTTGAAAATCCCACGTAGCACGTTTTGTCTCGTGTCCAAAGCGTTCGCTTTCGTTTTAAATTACATCACAAAGGTGGTGATAACACGTAGCAAGTTACATTTTTTTTCAACATTTGTCTTTTTAACGTACAAAAATCTATATTTTTCGCAGCAATTGAATCCCGTATCTTTTTAGTTGGAAGTTAAGCACAGAATAGAACTGAGCGAATCCTTGACGGTGACTTGATTTTAAGTCGAAATCATTTTGTTGTTGTTGTTCTCCCCTTTTTGGTGATTCTTTTCTCTGAACTCTGACCTCTTACCAATCAAGTTATATCACAGACTAAATCCAGAAGTTTCACAGTCTGATAGAGAAAACCGTGCATCAAGTGTATGAAGTCGATTTTCCGTCTCCAGTAATCTATTGACTATGTTGCTTTTGGCTGTTTCAATTTTGTTGATTACTATTTGTCCTACATCAAATGGTAAGTGAGTAAATTGTATAAAGTGAATTCTTCTTGTACGGTGGAGGGAGTTCATGTGAGCTTAACATTTTCTTCTGACGCGCTTCGGAACATAATATTCTGATGCACTGCATACATACATATTTGTAATTGAATTTATAGGCCGGGAACCTACGCATAGCTAATATCTTCGCGGAAGATTAATTAAAAGTTTCGTGCAAAATCTTGCAGGAATTTTGTTGAGGAAAATGTGACCGAGGTTGAGTCCTAAACAGGGTTTTTAACAAGTAGAGCTGGCTTTTTTCAATGGGCGATGTACTACTGAAATGCTGCGACAAATTTTCTAGAGCGGAAAAACCTAGCTTTGTTCAATGTCTCGAAATCTTGTTTCATCAAGATGGTTGCAGCGCTTTATCTACACCACACCCTCCAGTCTCACACTAAACCTTTGTTTAGCAAAGTGAAATTGGATTTCGAGTTGTTTCCTCAAAAATAAAAGAAAAAATCATCATACTATTGCTTTGCCAAGTGACTTGTGCTAACAGTAGTGGTCGGAACTGTGCGAAATCGCGATAAGCCAAAGCTGAAGAGTGGAGCTTAAGGTAAATAAATAACACTGGCAAATCCAAATAAACAACTATAGCCGGCGAGTAACTGTTAATAAGGCGATTAACGAATTCCTTGACCCGGGGTCTTAGATGGAATTAGAATTTCGAAGTTTTGGTAAAATAAAGTGTATACCTGTGTGTTTTGGCTTAAAAAGCGTTTGTTCTTGGGTGAAAACAAGAGAGAATACAGGATAAAAGTGTCGACCCCCCATACAGACTTCACCCCTCTGAAGTTTGTTTTTAAATCTTCCCCACCCCCCCGCCCCAGGTTCCCAACACAGTCTGGACAAAGTGAATCCTGTGACTCGGACTTTGCTCATGTCGACGGCCTTAGCGGCTTTACACGCAATTTCATCCCCTACGAAAACATCCGCACGATAAACGCGGCAACATTTTTGTCGGAAGAACTGGGAACGATGCTTGAGACGACCCGCTTGCATGTAGAGGGATTACCTTGGAGGAATTAACTCTCTTATTTTTCATCCTATCTTGATGAAAAATTCTGTAGTTTTCAATGTAGTGCCATCAAAAATATAAAGTTCTCCAAGATTTAGGTCTGGTCGGTTTTTCATAAGCGCGTTATTCGGAAAAATGATTCACTGCAATTTATAGAGCTTTGTATGGAGACGCCACGTTGGTGTCCAATATGGCGGCCATAAAGTAAAAGAAGCATCTGTTATTGTGCTTTTGCTAAAGCTCCGACAACTTGAAATGAATTCTTCGTCTCATGCAAGGAATTTTTGTTAGGAAGAACTTAAAAGATAAATCTTCTTTCGATCTAAGGGACAGCCTTTTCGGGTCGCATTCATTTTCATTTCAATTTGAACAACGCAAAAGCGTTGAAATTCAAACGGGACGTATTAACTATATTTAAGAAATAGAAAACATGTACCGTGTTTCTATCGAGTTATAGAAACACGAGTGAAAGTTTGGGAGAACGAGAAATGCTGTAGGAACA